AGTCTTTTGTACCCCGAAATAACCCCCGACAACACCTTCATGGAATTCCTTGCAAAGAACCGACACCCAACGCGACCCCTTCAGAACGACCAGCCGGCCGTCAAACACAACCCGATCACGGCTAATTGAATACCCCACCGGGGCCAACCCATCCCGAACACGTTTTTTAATTTCCGCCATCTCCGGATCATCGTCCAAATCTGACCACAGCTCTCCCCAATCTACACCACCTGTCGTAATCGTGGGCAATCCCACCTCCGGTTCGATACGCGACAACGCATCTGCTACCCGATTCTCGCTGCCCTACTTATAAATAATATCAAAATTAAACCCCATAATTTTCGATAACCACTTTTGGTGGTCTTCCGTAACCCCACGTTGTTCGAGTAAAAATTTCAGACTACGCTGATCGGTTCGAACAGTGAATTTACGACCCGATAAATACGGCTTCCATTTTTGAATAGCCAACATAATAGCTATGAGCTCACGCTCATAAACCGATTTCAGTCGGGCCCAAGCCCCCAGCACTTGACTGAAATAATCCACCGGCCTCCCGTCTTGCATGAGAAACGCCCCCAAACCATACCCCGATGCGTCCGTTTCCAATACAAACTCCTTCGAAAAATCCGGAAGAGCTAAAACCGGTAGCTGAGTCATCGCTAGTTGCAATTTCTTGAACGCCTCGGTAGCCTCATCGTTCCACTTAAAGTTATCATTCTTTAATTGTTTGGTTAAAGGCCACACAATCTTCCCCTAATCCTTAACAAACTTCCGGTAGTATCCCGTTAAACCCAAAAACCCAGGCAATGCCTTTAAGGTTTTGGGCAGTGACCATTGCAACATGGCAGAAACCTTGCTCGAATCAGCCGCAACCCCATCCTTTGATACAATATGACCGAGGTACTCCACCTGTTTTTGATTAAAATAACATTTTTTTTGGTTTGCATAAAGATGTTTTTTTGCAAAACTCGAAGTACCATCGAAAGATGATCCCGATGTTCGTGCTCGGTTTTGCTGTACACTAGTATATCATCAAAAAAAAACCAGCACGAATTTTCGTAGAAAAGGTCTAAATACCTTGTTCATAAGCGATTGAAAAGTAGTCGGGGCGTTAGTCAATCCAAACGACATTACCAAAAACTCGTAGTGGGCCCTCATGTGTCCGAAACGCGGTTTTCGGAATTTCCCCGTCTTCATGCGAATCTGATGGTACCCCGACTTAAGTTCCAATTTGGAGAAAACCGCGCCCCGTGAAGCTCGTCCAACAACTCATCTATGACCGGAATCGGAAATTTGTCGAGTATCGTTGCTTTGTTGAGGGCCCGGTAGTCAACACAAAACCGCCAACTACCATCTTTTTTATTGACCAGCAACATCGGGCTCGAAAACGGGCTAATACTTGGCTAAATCACTCCCGCCTCTAACATTTCCTTCACTAACCTCTCAATTTCGTTTTTTTACACATGTGGATAGCGATACGGTCTGACGCTGATCGGGCCCGTTCCCTCGCACAAATTAATGGCGTGTTCGTGGCTTCTTGGTGGTGGTAACCCCTCCGGCATGTTAAAAACCTCCCCAAAATTGTCCAATATGGCCTGAATAGTTCCCGCGTTCTGACCTAAATCGCCTTCGTCTTCGATAGTACCCACGTGGATGACGAATCCCTCACCCTCCTTTTGCAACAATTTCCCCAACGCCTTACACGACACAAGGGATTTGGAGAGGCTCGGGTCCCTGCGTATGGTGATCAATCGACCGTCAACCCAGAAACTCATCCACAACTCCCTCCAATTGGATGTGACATTACCCAACTTTTTCAGCCAAGTGATGCACAAAATCAGATCTGAAGTTCCAAAATCCAAAGTAATAAAATCTTCCACCATGCTACACCCCTGCAAATCTAGGGTTACTGCCTTGCAAGTACCCTGGGTCTTATCTTTCCTCCCGTTGCCCAACACGACCCTCACCGATCCCGTATCAATAACGTTAACCCCAAAATCTCGATTACCCGGTTGGAGACGAATGAGTGTGTGGCTCCACAATCGATTAATACTACCACCGGAACCCCCTGAATGTTTTCCCGTACCTTCATCATGCGCGGAGGGGTAAGACCGGAAATAGAATTTAAGGACACTTCAATCGCCTCCAAATACGGGTGGTCTCCATTGTCTTCCTCCTCCATGGTATCTTCTTCATCAACCAACAACACTTGCAACGCCTTGCTAGGGCAGCGGTGACCCGGAGAATATTTGCCATCACAACGAAAACAAATACCCTTAGCCTTTTTCTCTGCTAACTCGGTCGGTGTCAGTCTTTTGAAAGTACCACGCCCGCTGTTCGAGCTCATCTTCTTTTTTGGTATAGTACCAGTTGGGGTTTGGGTGGCAATTGTCTTGGCGGCACCACTGTTGTTCCACTTACTCGTACCATACCCACCCACCTTAACCTCTCCCTGCCCCTTGTTCTCGTCAATTTTCAGGGCCATGCGAATGGCTTGTGACAACGATTCTGGTTCAACAATCCGTACAGCGGAACGAACACTTGGCTTAAGGCCTTTTATAAAAGTACTTCCCTGGACCGATTCCGAGACACCACTTACTTGGCCCGCGGAGCTTTCTGTGACATCCCCATTTTTCACGGCCAGAAAAGACCGATTTTGTTTATGCTTTATAAAAATTAGAGTACTTCTTTTGATAAAAATGTTGCGGAATTTGTTCCCAGTAAAACATGATAAATACGTTATCAAAGCATTTCCGAAGAAATGTATTTTTATTCATTTTAAAACATTTGGGATGTCATCGTCAATACAGAAACATAAGCATAAACAGAACTTACTTCATTATCACTAGTGATCTACACCTCTTTAATCTCTCAGTGTAATGTAACTTCATATCGACACGTGTGATGGAAATAAGCTGGAGTGGGTCAGGTTGGGAAACCTGGTGAGTACATAGGGTTTTCAACCCACAATAATATAATTATTATGTTTAAACATCAAACAATCAACCAAATTACCCATCCCCATTATCTTCTTTACTCTTAAGGATCTACCCTAAGAATCAACTATTCCTCGTTTATTCATTCCTAAGGATCATCCTAAGGAATCGGCACGAAGTCCATCGTCACCGGGATTTAGGCACTAATTATGCATAGTCGCTAGGATTTATACAACAGGCACTAAGTCCGCATAGTCGCCAGGGTTTATACAACAGGCACTAAGTCCGCATAGTCGCTAGGGTTTTGGCACTAAGTCTGCATAGTCGCCAGGTTTTATACAACAGACACTAAGTCCGCATAGTCGCCAGGGTTTTGGCACCAAGTCTGCATGATCGCCAAGGTTTAGGCACCAAGTCTGCATGATCGCCAGGGTTTAGAGTACACCGAGTGAACACATCATTCACAACACCTACAGGTTGCGAGCCTGCTAGTGTTCCACCGGACTGTCTAGAATAGTCTGTGGTTGTCATCCATACTCTGCTAGATGACGGGGCCATCATTTGGGAAAGGCTTCTCACATCGTCCACCTCTCACACTCACCTCATGGTCTATAACACCTCTCAACTCATCATCCAACTCATATTCCATCTATTACATCTACCCATGTTTTACCTAACATATTATCGTAGATATATATATATATATATATATATATATATATATATATATATATATATATGCAGTTTAAATCATTTAAAACATGTATAAAATCGTTCATCCAGCATAGACAACAAGTACTCAGATAATATGCACACATAGCACGTAGTTTATATAAAATACTTCATATCTATGTGTAAGATGAAAGTAACTATGCACTCACTTGAAAATGTGGTGATTCTGAACTCAGACAGCGCTTCGCTTCTTAAAAAAAATAATTTTCTTCGACGAAACCTAGTATTATTACCACTAGAGTTTAGTCTATTATTCGCCGAGACTAATTAATAGTCTAGCTATTATTACTATTATATAAGCGTTAAACAGTACTTATATAACCCATAATAATAGCCCAAGTACTTATTATAAGTTCTTAATAATGTTACTATAATTAAATAAAAGTTATATTAAAAATAGCGTAGGCGTAGCTCACTTACATCGGGTTTTATAGAAAACCGGGCTTTGCTTGGAGCAGCGTTCCCGAGCCGAAAAGCTCTTCTTCTCGGAGCCTTCGAGCACTCCGGGGCTTCCGCCTCGTGCTAGGGAGGTTTCCAGGCTTTTCGGGGGGGGGGGGGTGTTGGGGCTAGAGAGAGTTTCTAGAGAGAGTAAAGAGAAGAAAGAATGGGAAAAGTGTGAAGAAAATGAGGGTGGGAGAGGTTCTATTTATAGGGTGAAAAATGGCTGAACTTGGTGCCACATGTCACCATCTAGTGGCAAGACTTGGGGAGAAAGCAATGGCCAAGATTGTGCCACATCACCCATTTTCGCACAACACACTTCCGACTTCTAAAATCCGTAACTTTCACATACGACCTCCGTTTTTGACGTTCTTTATATCCACGCGTAGGTAAAAATAAGATCTACAACTTTCATTTTAACTCTGTCGGCTAATTCTCGACTGATCTTAAATTTAACAGTAAGAGGAGATTATACTGTTAAATGTCCGCGTAAAATTCATAACTTCTACATACGGACTCTGTTTTCGTCTGTCTTTTTACCGTTGAGTCCTATTAATGAGATATTCAATTCTCATTTAGGTCGCGTAGGCCAAAAACCACTCGATCTAAAATTCGAGTTTCGGGGTGTGCACTGCTAAGCCAAATATTAGAAAATTCATAACTTCCTCATACGAAGTCAGATTTGGGCGTTCTTTTTTTGTATGTTCTCGGTTTAACGTATACTACAACTTTTGTTTAGATTTCTAAGGCTAAAAAGTCCTCCATCGTAAATTCACTATTTACGTCTCCCGGTGTCGTGCCGGTTTTTGCCATAAAACTTCGACGGACCATAACTTCTTCGTTATAGCTCGGATTTCAACGTTGTTTATATGTACGGAACCCTTGAGACGTATTCTACAACTTGGTTAAGATTATTTATTCTAAATAATCTTTTGTCAAAAAGTCGTTTTCGACCCCTATTATCTCTAAATTGACTAACCCGGATCTACGGGCGTTACACTTTCGAAACGATCCACATAATCTCTAACAGTGCCATCTTGTTGGAGAGCTAAGAATTGCTCCCGCAGACTAACCTCTCGAGATGATTGAAAACGATCTAACAACTTGGTTTTGAACTTACTCCATGAGCTGAATGGTTTCATGGAGTTCTCCTACATCACAGGTAAATTCTTCTCTCCTTGATTTATTAATTCATTAATAATGTGTTGTTCCATTTGTGCCATATGCAAGAAATAGCAATGTACTTTCATTTATTTTTATTACAGGAGTGCAGATGGGCAACCCCCTGTAACATTCGCTATTGCAGCACAAGAAACAAACCATGTGCGCGTTTCAGAGTGTCCATCCTTTGTAATATCTGGAAACTCCAAGGGTCTCACAGCAAAAGACATGTGGAATGAAATTAAAAAGGTTGGCTATATACAAGACATATCATTGTACTTTCATTTAATTGTTTTTTACAACATCCTACTTTCATTTTTTGTACCTACAGTTTATTCTTATGAAGGCATCTACCAAATTATAGCACTGTACTTTCAGTTTTTGTCTAATTAAGACACTGTACTTTGAAAAATCTGACCAATTATACCAATGAAATTGCTATAGCGGGATAGATTGTTCAAAGTGCAATGTTGTAGTAGGTGATAATGAAAGCAAGATGCTATAATAAAGATAAATGGAAGTAGATTGCCATTTCTTACATCTAGCCTTAATTTTTATGATTCAGAATGGTTCTTTTGATGACCTTGATTCTTCTCAACTACCAATGATCTCAGAAGCAAAGTCGTGTATAGGTGCGGGTATTGCAGCTTCTGTGACCATACCATCTCAGGCTGTGCGTACTGTCACCTTCTCATTGGCATGGGATTGTCCGGAAGTTGTCTTTCCAACCAGGACTTACCATAGGTGACTCACCAAACCTTTTTCTTTTCTGAAACTTTATTATATATTAAATGGGCTGAATTCAAGAAATAGCAACGTACTTTCGTATATTGGTTTATTATATTTATAGCATCCTACTTTCATTTCATCCTATTACAATGCAGTTTTCACAGCTATAATTTTGTAGATATTTCAAAATACAATGCCTTGATAAAAAGAATTGAAAACACATTGTTGTAGTAGAAAAAAAAATAAATAAAAGTAGGATGCTGATGCTTTGATAAACAAAGAAATGAAAGTACATTGGTATTTCTTGCATTTTAGTGTTATATGAAAACTAGCATGATTCTTACAAGAGATGTTTTGTGACAGGCGTTACACCAAATTTTATGGCACTCATGGGGATGCTGCTGAAAAAATCGCACATGATGCTATTCTAGGTGATGCCTTCTTATCTATTTTAGTATTTTAAAGTACATTGCTGTTTCAAGAAAGTTGTTTTTATATATTATTCACAATTCCAATTATTCATTTTGTATGAAATTTAGAACATGGTAATTGGGAGGCCCAAATAGAAGCATGGCAACAGCCTATCCTTGAAGACAAGAGGCTTCCTGAATGGTAAAAACCAAATCCTCTAATTTTCTTTCTTTTCACTGCCCTTACTAATCTCTAATCCTATTGCCTTTCTTCAGGTACCCAATCACTCTTTTCAATGAATTATATTATCTCAACTCAGGGGGCACAATCTGGACAGGTAACCCTGATCTTTTTAACTTTTATAAACATCCATCATTTTTTTATCAAATGCAACCTGCTCAAGTCTGTGTTCATAATCTCTGTTTTTTTCTTTTTCTTTTTTTCCAGATGGAGTACCTCCTGTACACAATTTGTCAACCATTAATGGAAGACAGTTCTCAATTGGTAGATCTAACATGGACTCTCAAAGTAACGGTGATACTAATACAACTCATCATCAACACGACACTGCTGTTAACGTTCTTGAAAGAATGACGTCAGTACTCGAAGAAATCCACAACCCCACATCAAAAAACTCAGCATTCGGTACAAATCTTCTACAAGAAGGAGAAGAAAACATCGGGCAATTTCTGTATTACGAAGGAATAGAATACCACATGTGTAACACATACGACGTCCATTTCTACGCATCATTCGCCCTAATCATGCTTTTCCCCAAACTCGAACTCAGCCTCCAACGCGACTTTGCATCTGCCGTCATGATGCATGATCCCCGTAAAATGGATATTTTATCCGATGGGGCATCGGTCCCGAAAAAAGCCCTAGGTGCTGTCCCACATGATATCGGAATGATCGATCCTTGGTTTGATGTTAACTTCTATAACCTCTACAATACAGACCAATGGAAAGATCTAAACCCTAAATTTGTCCTCCAAGCCTACAGAGACGTGGTGGCTACTGGTGATAAGAATTTTGCGAAAGCTGTTTGGCCTTCGGTTTATATTGCAATGGCGTACATGGAGCAGTTTGATAAGGATGGAGATGGGATGGTTGAGAATGAAGGGTTTCCTGATCAGACGTATGACACGTGGTCGGTTTTGGGTGTTAGTGCGTATTCCGGTGGGCTGTGGGTGGCGGCGTTGCAGGCAGCGTCTGCTATGGCGGGTGTAGGTTGGTGATAAGGGGTGTGAAGGGTATTTTTGGGCCAAGTTTTTGAAAGCGAGGAGTGTGTATGATAAGTTGTGGAATGGTTCTTATTTTAACTACGATGATAGTAAAGGGAGGGCAAGTTCGTCCATTCAAGCTGATCAGTTGGCGGGACAATGGTATGTTTAAATTTGAACCGCCTTCATTATAAAGGGCATTTAAGACATTTAACATTGCTTGTGGTAGGTATGCTCGAGCATGCGGGCTTTCTCCGATTGTTGATGAAGAAAAGGCGAAAAGTGCATTGGAGAAGGTTTATAATTTCAATGTTTTGAAAGTGAAGAATGGGAAACGTGGAGCTATTAATGGGATGCTACCCACGGGTGAACCCGATATGTCATGTATGCAATCGAGGGAAATTTGGACTGGAGTTACTTATGGAGTTGCTGCGGGTATGATTCATGAAGGCATGATCGACACTGCTTTCCACACTGCAAGTGGAGTGTATGAGACCGCTTGGTCCGAAGAGGGATGCGGGTAAGCGTACTTAATAGCAACCTACTTTCATTCATTTGTTTTTTATAGTATCGTACTTTTGTTTCTTTGTAGTAAATCAATGCCATTTAAATACAAAGCACACTTTAATATCCTTTTCGTAAATCAATGCCATTAAAATACAAAGCACAATTTATTATCCTAAGAGACAACCGACTTTGAAAGATGTTCCAAATTGGTCTTTTTCCTTTTTAAAAATTTGGCTTTAGTTTTAATTTTTGTTACGAATATGGTCCCAACATCTTTTTACAAATTTGCCTTAAGTTTTTTTTTTTACAACTTTGTGTTTACATGTTTTCTAAAAATTAGTTTTCTTTTACAAATCCGTTTTATAAGTTTTATACACATTCGTTTTTATGCATTTCTTAAGATTTTTTACATACTTTTTATAAATTAATGAAAAAAATGTAAATACAAATTTGTAAAAATACCAAATTTTGTAAAAGTGAATTTGTATAAATAAAGATCGGATTTTCATCACAGATTGGATTTACATTTTGTAAAACCAAATATTCGTTTTTACTAATTCACTTTTTTTTTGAAAGTTGTACTTTAAAAAAAAACATCCTAAAATAATAAAAAGGTTGTACTTTGTAAAAACAAAAAAAAATCCTAAAATAAATAATATGTAAAATATTGGTACCAAATTCATAACAAAAATTAATATTATCCTAAATTAAAAGATTATCCTAATTTTAAATAAATATAGCCTACCAAATTTGAATAAAAAAATTAAAATTACTAATTAGTTGATAATCTTAACCAAATCGGAGAGTTATATCATTACTCCCTCTCAAACAAGCACCTTGTCCTCAAGGTGGAAATCTGGGTTCTACAGCTAAATATTGCTGAAATCCTAGATCGTCTCTAAGGCTGGACGGAGTGGTGCCACAAAAACCGCCCTCCCTCCTATGCTACGTAAACGCCAACTCATAATTGTTTTACATTTTAATACTATGAAACCACATTGTGGGAGTGAGAATACGGTAAAGAGAGAAAAGAAAAAAAAAAGAAAGAAAGAAGGTGATTGGTTGAAAGAGGAGAGAGAGAGCAAATAAATGAGGAGAGAGAGAGAGAGTGGAGAGTGCAGCACCCAAACCGCACTCAGGGACGGTGTTCTCCCTTTGAATAAAAGCATCTTCAATTACTGGAACTCGATGTTTTTGCATCTGTTGTTTCCCAATCTCTTACTTCCTTCTTGTTCAATATGCTTCTTACTTTTTCTCACCAGTCTCGTTTCTTCTTCACCAGAATGTTTGTTGGTTGGTGACTCTTTGGGTTCAGGCTTCTTATTTTCTTCCTTGCTCACCAAGTTACTCACTGTGGCGTTGATGGCTTTCAATATTTCTAGAAAGTGTATAGGGGGTTTTACTTTGGAGTGGTTTTTGCTTCCTTGCGTATTTTAGCCACATCTGCCTCCAGATTGGCGATTGTGGTTCTGTGGTTTTCCGTGGACATCTTGATAACAGAATCGAGGGTTGTGAACAGTATCACGAGAACAGTGATTCCGATGAACATTACCTCCGTGAACAGTAATCCCAAAGAGTTCAAGGCTCATACTTCTATACATCATAGTAAAAAGATCATATTGTAAGTGTTATGAGATAATCCTACCTAAATTAAAGGAGACTAATAGATACCCGAATTTTAAATAATTATAACTACTAGCTAAAAGAAAATAACTAATTTGAATTTGAATAAATAATTAAATAATTACCAAGTAGTCGATAAATAATTATAACTACTGGCTAAAAGAAAATAACTAATTTGAATTTGAATAAATAATTAAATAATTACCAAATAGTCGATAATCTTGACTAATAGATACCCGAATTTTAAATAATTATAACTACTGGGTAAAAGAAAATAACTAATTTGAATTTGAATAAATAATTAAATAATTACCAGGTAGTCGATAATCTTGACAAAATCGGCAAATCGTTTCAGTTAGTCATATAATTTGCAAGTTAGACGCATTGCGGGGTTGGAAGGCATTCAATTATAGATGCTTATTAGCAGTAATAGCCAAAGGGACGCCAAAAAACATAACCAATATTATTGTCCACATATAAAAAACACACATATTAAAAAAAACATTAATTATCACTAACTTTATTTAATAAAATGACAGTTTTGTCCTTACTTTGCATTTAATGTTCCATTAAATGCTTAGTTGGTTAGGAAATAATGAGGGGTATTTTGGTAGAAGTGGACTATTATTTTGGGACAAACAAAAAATGAAAGATGGACTATAATTTTAGGAGGGAGTATTAACTTACAAATGTTTAGTACTCTTAATGTACCAAATAAACCAATTTAATCAACAGTTAGTATAAAAAGTTACACAAATTACTAAACTTAAGTTCATAAACTTAAAAAAAAACTTAAGTTCATGATCCATTTCCCAGTCAAAATGGCCAGGAGGACTTTCAATGTTGTTGTACATTGTAGATTTATTAGTGAAATGCAAATGAGTCCAGCAGGAAAAATATTACCGGTAACGATTTGTATTGGTTAGCATGCTAACGGAGGTGACAGGTTTGAACAAATAAAAATAAATAACTGAATTGGGGCCAAATAAAATTACGGATTAGTTATGTTTGATTTTGTTTTTGGTTCAAAAATATTTTAAAATTTTGGGTTTCCATTCAAAATTACCAATTTCTTTTCAATCCAATGTTATTATTAGGTTTGTATGTTTCTCTGTTTTGAAGCCGATATCTACCAGCCATACTATATAAACCTGAATGAATGACTATTTTACCCTTCGGCCTATTTAATACATACAAATAACACAAAATAAACATATACTCGATAATCATTATCAATTTAAACCCAAAATATCAAAGATCTTTAAACCCAAAATTTGAATCAAAATGTAAAAAAGACAAGACATGAATAACCTTGAACCACCTTATCGCCGCCACAATGTCGGGCCCGGTTGTCAAAGTTTCCGGATGCCCAACTGACAGCCGGCAACGTTCAGCCTCCGGGTAACCAACTTTGCCCGTTTTGCCTAATACAAACTGAAATTTGAATCTATAAGAATCAAGAAATGGCATTTTTTTCTTGTTTCGGGAAAGCTTCAAAAGCAAAATTACCCTTTTACCCCTTGTCATGCATACTTACCATTTCAAATATATGCTTCACTTCTTCATTAACAACTCCGTTCACCATCCGGGACCTCCTAAACAAACAAAGGAAATCACAAACATTAATATAATAAAGTATAAACTCTAATTTTAGTATTAAAAATACGTTCTTTAAAGAATCAAGAATATTCACCTTTAAATCCTAGGCAAGGTGTGTGAAACGAAGATGGACATTTATCACATAAAACGAACTCCCCACCATAAGAGTGTTATGTAGCGAAAGTGGTGAATGAAAACATCAACAAATTTAAGGTCAGATTCCAGCCCATATAGGAGTGTTTCTTCATGATTTATTGTTGCTAACAACTCAAATCTTAATTCTGTTTCTTTTGCTCATGAAGACCTTATGTTCTAATCTTATATTAACAACCATGAACAATAAAATATGAGGGCAGATACATGTGCAAAACTAACTTACCCCATAAGAAGTTGTCAAGTCTTTTTTATGGCATGTATATAGTTAGTCTGTAATCTTGAGAATACAAGGAAAATGAGCACTATTCTATACAAAATCGTTTTTTTCTATATGTTACAGACAATTAATTAATCAATTTGGAAAACAAAAATTAGCAAGGGTTAAGAGATCATACCAAACAAAGCTTTCATCCAAAATCTAGGGTCAAATCAGGAAGAACATCCACATGAGTTCTTATCATTCATACGTTGGGTCTAATCTGGCATAAATCAAGAAGCAAAGAAGCCAAACACTTATGATTTAAAATCAACCACACAACTACAAAACTGAGCAGAAAAATATTTTTTTCTTAATACCTCTGGCATTTCATCGAACATGTAGTGAGCGAAAGCAGGAGATTCCCACATCTGGTGAATAAAAACGAAGTATGGAGAACGAAGGAGGTGGTGACGACTTTTTTTTGACTGGGAGACAGACAGGGAGAGAGCTCCGTCCAAAAGGCGCACAATAAATCACATATGACACACTATAATACTCAGTTCGTGGCTGATTTTGGACAACGATGGAACAATGGTATGCACATATGCAGGTGCGAGAATTTGGTTGCCTTGTCTGCCCGCCATCTCCGACTGAAAGCACATATGAAAGCCTAGAAGTTGAAAATCAGAAGACTCTGACGGTGACTCTTGCTCCTCCTGCAAGTCGGTCACGGTGATCAAAAAAGCAATCGAAATTGACGCTGCACTCTCCGGCGTGGAGATATCTGGAAAAAAAGCGGCGTCTGATCGGAATCGGAAGAGGAAGAAGGGAGAGCCAGAATGAAGCGGTGGAGACGTACGGTCAGGTGTTATAAAAGGATAGAAAGTTATTGGATGAGATTGGGCGGTGGGGAAAGATCTAGTATATGATTTGGTGTAGGGATGAGAATTTGGTCCGAAAACCCGAACCAAACCGAAAACCGAACCGAATTAGACCCGAATAAGCAATTCGATTCGGTTTTCGGGTATCTATATAAGGCTTATTCGGTCCGGGTTACCCGAATAAGGGCTTATTCGGTCCAAAAGGACCGAACCGAATATGAAAAGTTACATTTTTTTCCTAACACGATTGCTTATTCGGTCTTCTTTTCTATCGATCGTTACCCAACAACATGTAAGTCCCTAATCTGCTTGTGTATCAATCAGATCCGTTTGATGGTGCGGAATCTCAATCAAACGGATGATGTCAGATCAAATAGAAGAGAAGGAGAAGAAGAATAATATGAATCTTGTATAGTATTGATTAGAATGAAGATCCGGATACAAGATTCACACACACTAACACACACTCTCTTTTCTCTCTCTTTCTCTCTCTAGAACACCTTCAAATGCACACACTTAAGCTCCTCTAGTGTTCATCACTCAATTCCTCACACCCCTCACCCCTATATATACTGGACTGGGCCGCAAATTGGGTTTACGGCCGTAAACGTGTTTACGGCCGTAAACTCTGTTTACGGTCGTAAACTCACAACACATATACGATATTACATAACAATACAATTTCCTAGAAAAGCAAAGTATAAACCATATTTTTGACCCAACATCTCCCCCTTGGTTTATAGCTTTCTTTTCTTTTCTCAAATGACCCAACAAGCTCCCCCTAAAAAGTAGCTGGCTTTCTTGATAATCTTCATTGGGAGCTTTGGCTTCAGCTTTAATCTTCGAATTCTTCACAGCTTCAAGATGAACATATGAATCTTCAATGAATGACTTCATCTTGAGCAGTTGGGCTTTTCTTCAAGACATAGTAACTGGCGGTCAGAAGGCCAAAATGAGTCTGGAGATCTGTAATTTGTTTGGTCTTCGCAACATTTTCTTCATTAAGTTCTGCCATTTGAATACTGAGTTGTGTGTTTTCAGCTTGAAGGCCTGCGACTTAATGTCAAGCTCAATTTCCTCTGATCCAACTCGACATTTTTCTGACTCAGAGCATCGACCTGCTTCTGAAGACCCAAAAGTGTAAGACCTTCTCTCCTGTGTATCACCCCCACCTATATAATTCCTTTGCCACGCAAAGGTGATGTTGAAAATGGTTCTCTGGCCAAGAGCGTTGCTAACTTGACAGAGGTAGCGTCGTGCTCTGGCCTCGGAGGAGAGAAGTCCGTTGGGAAGGACGAGCCACCGGTTTCGTAGAAGGTACTGGGACCTTCACTGATTGGCTCAGTTGAGACTATGACTGGGGTTGTTGTTGGTGGAGCTGAAGCACTTTGAGTCACCAGTCTTGGTCAAGTCTTCGTCTTTTGCTAGGAGAAGGTGGTAGTTTGAGTGACTGGAGGATCACTTTCCATCGGCGCAGATGTAGGTAAGACAACATCAAGGGGAGGAATTCCTGACGTCACCACCATAGGAATTGCTATTTCCGCCGATGTTTTGGTTGGTGGAGGTGTAGCTTCAAGAACATCTTCTTCTTCCCTTGTCTCATTTGCCGGTTTAAGCAACTTCATTGACATTGTCGAGCAACTCATTGAGGTTTACCCCTGTCAGGAAATCCTCGTTCCATCCCAAAATTAACAGGAATTTCATCATTGTCAAAAACCTGTGAGATCCAGGTCTTCATACAAGTCAGTTTCTGACCCCGACCCCCTGTGAGAATCTTCTTGAACCCAAGCGGATGTCAATTCATGTTCCGAAGCTACATCAGCATTAACAGCTGGATCTTCTTCTTCTTCATGATATGAGACAGTGATGACATTTTCAGAAATGACCCTCTCGGAGGAAGTTGCCTCAGATGACATTTTCTCTGACGTTCCATGCGACTCAGAAGACTCATCAATTTCAGCAAATTTTCCAAATTTGACCAGAGGATGCAATCCTTGAAAAACGACTTTGCCCTTTCTATTTTGCTTGATAAGACCAACTGTGTGAGGGCCCAAGGATTTGATATCCAACTTGTCACCATCCTTGACCATTTCTGGAAACTGATCGTCGACAAACACTTGGATAAGCCTTGGATAAAGTAGAAATGCATCTCTGGTCCCCCGTAATGGCATTAATGTTCCCGAGAACTCATCAAGAATGAACTTTGAGAAATTAAACTTTATGCCACAGCCAGGGAGACAATTGCCCGGTGTTTCTGAGAGAGAATCTCATCGGCTCCTGATCTCCTGCCAGAAATGCAGCTCACGAACACGTGTGCCAGGAATCGCCAGTAAGGAGGCAGGAGCTTCTTCACTGTGGGAGGTTAGATACCCTCGTATCCCATCATCTCAAGAACCCTTTGTACATCTTCAATTCCAATTTCAGTAGGGAAATTAGATTCATCAACGACAAACAAAGTATTTCTGATGTACTCCTCCGTAATAGTGATCTTGCAACCTTTGACTATGGCTTCAATTGTTATCTTCTCTCGTTGACCTTTTCCATTTTTACAGTTTGCCAAAATTCCCGGATGATGTTTTGATAAATGACGGGATTTACTGTGATGACATAGGATAAGCAGCAATCCCTTAGCCTGTAGATCATGGATTTGAACTCCGCATGAGCGATGGAGGATCATCCAACACGATCGCCAATTGTGCATATCCGCGAACTTAGATTGGCCATTTTTTTTGCACTAAACAAGCCAAGTAAAAACACAGGATTTTAACAAGTTAAATCATTTAGTTTTCTCAATTAGACAATTTATTTTGGCTTTTAAAATTAGTTTGACTACAAAATATTGGGAGTTTAATGGTCAAAATAGTCAAAACATTGGAGTTTACGGTCAAAGGAAGTCAAGCATGGGTTTACGGTCAAAGATGGTCAACAGACCGTAAACTGAGTTTACGGTCGTAGACCAAAACTCGGGTTTACGGTCGTAAGACCACTTTGGGTTTACGGTTCTTGAATGATCCGAACCGTAAACTCCTCGTGAACGGTAAACGCCGACAGAACTTTAAACTTCGATTACTCCTTCGTTTTTGGTCGGAATGGCGAATAGAGAGCATATCCTTGGTCGGATTCATCATACCTTCGAGAGTACTAGGCC